CTAACATGAAAGAAAACCTCTATCATATATAATTATGTGATTAAATATGCATTAAATGGCATTATACATTTCTTGACTAATCTAATTGGCTCAAAGGCATATACCAACACTTATCTCTATGAAGATAAGAAGGATATCATTATCAATGCTAATACTATCCTTGTGCCTTCTCAAGATGATAAGTTGCCATTTCCACTTGAACAGCAACATTCTTAGCCTCTTGCAGCTCCGTAAATTAATTAGCCCTAAAGTTGTCTCTTTGCCTTCTCAAGATCTTCAATGGCCAGTTCAACTTGAACCGTCGTGTATTTTGCTGCACAATTCTAATCAAGTAAACCTTATTCTAGCTACCAATTGACCCACTTCCAAGCCTTTTTCAGGCTGCTGCTGCTCATGGGTTGAAAAGCCTAACTCATAATATGGACTGCTCTGTTTTGGCTATCACTTCCAAAGGCCTCAATAAACCTTTGGATCCTCTAATGCCACTTTCAATTTATGGATATGTTGAATTGGCTGACATCTTGAAACCTTCCATTCAAGGAATTAATCTTGTTGTGGATCTTGATGGTGGTTGTTGCCCTCTTAGCTGACCTAATCTTATTGAGTCATTTATTTGTGCTTCTAATGAACTTCAACCCATCTCTCAAGGCTTTAACTACAAAGCTTCTTCTTTAGTTTAGGGGGAAAATCACTTTCTTCCTCTAGTGAAGACGCTAGATTAGAGTTCTCTTCTGATTTTTCTACTAACCAAAGTTTATCCTTAGCTGAGGCTTTTTTAGTCTCGTCTAAAAAGGGAAGAAAGGGTTCTAAGAGATTCAATAAGCTGCGAAAGAAAAATATCAAGAACTTCCACCGTAAATCAAGAACAGACACAAATGTGTCTCTTCAAACTAAGCATGATAGCCGAAGTAATTCTAGTTGTTATACTGAAGCTAAGGATACTTGGAATTTAGGTAAGAAGTTGGGATTGGTCCCTTAGTGCCCTAATAAAATTCTTTTGGACAAGCTTTCTAAAATTCAAGGAAAATTAGTTTTGCGATGAATTTTTGACGAGTTTAATGTTTTGTGTGGATTGTTTTCCTTTGTTTACCTATTACCCGTTTTTCTCACTATTTTGTCTCAGTCCATTATCTCTGTGATCTTGTCTATAATTTTATTCCATGTAGATCTTATCTTGGAATATGCATGGAGTTGGTGGTTCTTTAAAAGCTTAGAAAGTTTTCCAATACATTCGAGCTCATAAGGTTGATATGTTGCTTTTACAAGAAACAAATCTTGAAGATATCGTGGATAGCTTCATTGAATGTCTTTAGCTTGATTGTAATATTGATTGAATTTCTAACCCTACTGTGGGGTGATGGTGGTATTCTTTCAATTTGGGATAAGTCAACTTTCTCCTTGATTTCTTCTATTATTTCTAAAAGATTCGTTGTTATCCATGGTTGTTAGCTTTCTTATAAGTTTTAGTGTGCTATTTTTAATAGTTATGCTCTTTGCGACTTGGCTGAGAAGTAGGCTTTATGGGATAATCTTTTCTATCTTTATTATAATTTTTTTGAGAATTCGTGTTGTGCTGGTGACTTTAACTTTGCTAAAATTTGCTGGATGAGGGCTGATCATGCATCAAATACAAATAAATGTAGTGAAAATAGATTTAAGATTAAATTACGCCTCACTTTCTTAAGTTCTCTTTCATACCGAATTGAGTACGAAATTAAATTACATATAAAATATATATGCATGATCATATCAAATTTACCTTAATAATAAAGGTTGATGAATCCTTTGTTAAACCATCGATTTGCCTTGTAAAATCTCAACCACCTTAGCTCAGTTGTTGCAAACCAAAGCTGTCCAAGGAATCCTTGTGCAGCCTCTAATGGTGATCCACACTAATAAATTAGAAAATTCTTTTTTGAGGATTGGGAGTACTATGCCTTAGTAATATGCTAGCAAAAATGAGTTTCATAAACTCATAATCCACACAAAATTATGGGGCTAAAAAGGAATCAAGTGAATGAAAACTGCTTTTCTTCACACAAGGAACCGCAAGAAAAAAAAAGGTTTCTAATCAGCTGTTCTTTTCTTTTTCAACCTTGTCTCTCTTATTTTGTTTGGAGGCTATAGCAAGGTATTTATACCTTGGCTTAATTTTAAACCCTAATTACAAAACTATTTTGTAATTGCAAATTAATCCAATAATTGAATAAATAATT